CAGTTTACACTCATCTACAGGCCAGGATTATGCAGTTTACACTCATCTACAGGCCAGGATTATGCAGTTTACACTCATCTACAGGTCAGGATTATGCAGTTTACACTCATCTACAGGCCAGGATTCTGCAGTTTACACTCATCTACAGGTCAGGATTATGCAGTTTACACTCATCTACAGGCCAGGACTCTGCAGTTTACACTCATCTACAAGCCATCAGTCCTCTTTCAGGGATGCACATGGTCTCATCCTTGATAGAGAGGAACGTTGGTTTGAGAGAGGAGTAAAAGAAGATGATTTTTTGTGAAGAGAAAACATCTGTCCTTAAACAGAGGTGGAGGCCTCTGACTTTGTCCGATTACCCCACTCTTACACCGCTTTATTGCAAGCATGACTCAGTCCTCTGTGAACAAGTAACAGAAGCACTACTCCTGCATCACCACAAGAGGGACACCATGAACTGGAAAAAGCAGCCTCAGGCTGTCAGATACAGGCAGGTAAAGTTAATTCTGCTGATTCACGTGTCACAAAAACACATTTTGCTTAAATCATATTGATTTTACAAATGATATTACTGGTTTTTAGGGTCATCTGTAGGCATTCTTAAATTGTTCTAATAAGATGTCCAAATACTAATGTAAAGCAGTAGTGATGAGACAGGCATGGATTGTCTTCTTCCTATTTCCTCTGGTATAACACCCAAATAATGTGTCTTTAAGTCAGCTGTAACTGGCAGCTCTCCTCTAAATGACTATGACACATAAATGACCTGAATCACAAGGAGTTTTTAAGTATGTAGTAAGCAACAAGTTGTGCTAAAGGTCTTTTAACTTGGCATGGTCCTTTATCATGGTTCCCTCTCAGATGAAAAGAATTTGGTTTGGATTGTTTGCAGCTGCTCACATGATCAAAAAATTGTCTTCTGGAGAACATTTTTTATTGAAAATTCAAAAGACTGTTTTTTCAGCCACAATGACAAGAAGTATCAAGAAATCAATAAGTTTTCATTTATAATGTCACAGTTCCATCAGTCAAATAAGGGGGTGGTAACATCAAGTGAATGAATAGTGAAGTAGGATGAAGCTTCTCAAGTCCAGCGAATATCAACAGCTTAATGGCTGAACCTTAGATGTTCCAACAGGACAATGATCCCAAACAAATCAAAACTGCTCACTGGATAACAGAGGCTGACATTAATCTTCTGGAGTAGCATTCCCAAAATGAGTGGAGTGTTTTTAAAAACCGATCCTTGTCAGAAAACTAACCAACCTAAATAAACTCTGCCAATTCTGTTAAGAGTCAGAAATCAGCCAGATTTGTGCCAGAACGATGGAAACAAAAAGTCTGCAGTCCAAGTGCAACATGTAGGCACTTCAATAAAATGCATTGTCCAACCCAGGGCAATGAGTGGGTCAGGTTTTAGAGCCTTACGAGCAAAAATGGAAGAACAGCTCTAAAATAAGTTGGAAACGTTTAGCAAGGTCCCTAGCTAAGGGACTTCTAAGCTAATATTAGTGGGGTTGCATTTACAAGTATCKGATTGTTTGGGTATCACAGAGATAAATGTGAAGACACTGCAGAGGTGTTAAGATGTTTTGTTGTAGTATTCAGCAGCACAGCGTCAAGACTGAAGAGTTGACTGAAATATATGTAGGGCTCAGTTTAACAGGATGTACTTGGAATTTGTTGCACACTAAAATTTTTACAAAAACATGGATGTAACTGCACCTGCATATATATAT